AAACTCTTCCAGTTTAGCAAGTCCAATGGATGGAGGGTGCCTCCTTTCCCCTTCTTTCTCAAAAATGTTCTGGGAAGACTTTTATTGGTCCAGTTTTGGTCATGTGCTCCTTTCTGAACCAATTACTATGGCCAGGGGCATAGCTCTGATTGGCCAGGCGCAGGTTATGGGCACATCCCTAGGTTCAGGTGGGTCCCTTCTTGTCCACTCAACTGAGAGTGGGGAGGGGTAGTTCCGCCAGGGAAAACTGGGGTGCAATTACCAGAAGAAAGGCAAAGGCATGCTGGGTAGGCAGAAATAACATGGAAAGCCTTTAAAAATCATTAGCTTCTACTGTTGTTATTATTGTTGTTGTTATTACTATTATTATAATATTGTTTGAGACAAACAGGTGATAAAACAAATGAATTTTAAAAGCACAGTATGAAATGAGTTGGGGGGGAGGAGAGATGAAACAGAATTGGCAAAATGCTGGCAGCTCTTGCAGCCTGTGATAGGGCCATGAGGGTTCATTATACCTCTGTCTCTGCTTGTCTGTGCGTTTGAAAATTTATATAATACAAAGGGGGAAAAATAGCACCAGCAGGATATGGGAAACTTCTTTAGGAGAATCTCAGCTCATATTGTTGTTGTCAGTTACCTGAAGTTCTTTTTCTTTTTTAAATCTTTATTGAATTTGTTACAGTATTGCTTCTGTTTTATGTTTTGGTTTTTTGCCTGCAAGGCAAGTGGGATCTTAGCTTCCCGACCAGGGATCGAACCCACACCCCCTGTATTGGAAGGCAAAGTCTTAACCACTGGACCACCAGGGAAGTCCCCCGATGTTCTTAACAGACCGGAAACGAGCGGTGGATTTGTTGTCTGCTTAACCTTTCCCTCCCAGGTTCTCCTCGGTGACCTGGCAGTTCCAGTGTGGGCTGACTTGTGACGATGAGGTCAACCTTTTCCCCATCAGTGCATCTGTCCAGTTTATTAAGATACCTGCACAGTTACCCCGTCCACTTACAAGGTAATACAGTTGCTGACCTAAGTGACATTAGTAAGAAGCAGAAAAATATATGTTCCAAAGTAAGAAGTTTATTTCTTTAATTAGGTTTTGATGCTTCTCATCAAATGCATGTGCTTTGCTGTAGCTACTGTAACTTCCTAAAATGTTTTGTAGATACCAGATCAATTTTACAGAGTACAACTGTAACAGAAATGAGGTTTGTTGGCCGCAACTTCTTTATCCGCTGACCCAGTATTATCAAGGTAAGGTAAAGCACATTTCTGAAATGGTTATCATTATGTTGTGTCAATTTAAAAACTTAAAAAATAGTGTAAATGTCACAGAAAACTTAAAACATATAGCAAAGCTTTAAAAAGAGAACATTTACTGATCATGTTGCCACTTAGAAAGGATCACTATTTATGCTTTGGCTTACTTCTACCTAAATAATTACCCAAAAAGTTAAGAAATAGGAACGTTGCTTAATTTGATTCACTGCCTTGCAGGGGAGCCTTTTTCTCAGTGTGTTGCCAAGAGCTTACTGTTGGCATCCTTCATCACATTAGCGGTGTTCCTCAGTAACCCCTGGACTGGAATATGCAAAGCGTGGAATTCAGCTACCATCTGACCTCTTACAGATCATCAGCTTTTACTTCAGGGGTTTGTTGTCCTCCCGTGTGCCTCTCTATAAAATCTTAATAAATGAAATGTTTTATTTTTATAGAAGATTTTGTTAGGTGCTCTGCAAATTTACTTCACATATACAGCTAGCCAGACGTTCAAAGCAATGCAGAACGGGCATCCTCACCGCTATACCAGACTGAGCAAAATGCAGGAGAGGGTCAACCGAGTCAATAAACGTTATTAGGAACTTTAGTTTTTTCACAAATGATGAAAGTCATAGGAGTTTTGGTCCAAATGTTACTTGCACCATAGAGAGTCAGTCTTTTAATTTTTAATATATTTATGTTGATCCGGTTAGTTCCCACTGTTCCAAAGACAGGATTAAGAATGCATTAAAGCCTTTAAAAGTGTATATTAGTGCAAAAGTCTAAGAAAATGGATGAGGCAAGATGGGGGGGGCTGCAGGAGGGGGACATGACTAGGTAAGTAAACAGAACTAGGAGAGAACACAAGCCCCCGAGACAGTACGCCAAAGACCTTGCATTTAGCAAAGGCAGGTCCCTCATGTAATGTTCAGTTTGCCAAGAAACCAAAATATGATTAGCTGTAGGAATCATGGGGCCCATCGATTAAAAAACAAGCTGGCTTTCAAGGAAGGACAGTTTTTCCTAGTTGAGAGAAATTCCTCTTGGGGCCCCCTGGGGGACAGACAGCACGAGGCAGCCGGGGGAGGGAAGCAGGGAAGCAGAACGGACGTCTCCCACCACAGCCCAAGAGCGGCCACACGGCCACGTCCAGTGAGGTTTCTTTGTGGGCCAGATAAACGTAGTCATCGTTTCACATGGACTTTGTGCACCGTGGATAAACTGAATTTTGAAAAGCGGGTGTCTTCCGTCTCACTCTGCTTGATTGAATTTTGAGTGCCTCCTGACATCCCGATGCTACCTACGTTGTGTTGTTGCATTTTGTTTGTTTTTTCGGGGCCGCACCGTGCAGCTTGTGGGATCCTAGTTCCCCAACAAGGGATTGAACCCAGGCCCTCGGCAGTGAAAGTGCAGATTCCCAACCACTGGACCGCTAGGGAATTCCTGGCTGTTGCATCTTCGCTCAGCATTCTTGCCCAGAGGAGTTTCAAATCTTCCTTCCCCTCTAAATCTACAGATCTAGTTCTATTTTTTCCTAATTCATATTAAACATGTAACAAATGACATAAGAAATCCCTCCCCCCAAGTACCACTGTTTGTATCACACCGTGGAAACACTGGATTTCTCCCCCCTCTGCCTCTTTCTTTGATGTGGATCTCTGTGGGTTGAGGTGATTACACCCACTAGGAGTTGAAATTGTCTTTTTTTGTCAAAGAAAACGAAATACCCAACTGACTCATTGCAGAGATTCAGAAAGTCTTTCTATGGCAGTTAGTATAACTAGCTCTGGAAAGTTAACTTAAAATTTCCAAATGACAGGTAATTTAGCCTGATTTTGTGGGCTTTGTTAGGGTGATTTTGTATGCAAGAAGGGAAAAACTCTGGCAGTAAAACGGGGTGGAGGGGGGGAGCATACTATATGGTTTTGCCTTTTCTAAGCTTATACATTCATATATGCATTTGGGAAGTATTTATTGAGTGGCTACTGTGCTGGGCACTGGAGATACCAAGACAGTGCCCCTCGTCCAGTGGAGCTGTTGACTGAAAAAAACAAAAAAACCTACAATCTGAAAGTTGAGAGTTTTATTTTCTTTCTTTTGCCGTACGCGGGCCTCTCTCACTGTTGTGGCCTGTCCGGTTGCAGGCACAGGCTTCGGACGCGCAGGCTCAGCGGCCATGGCTCACAGGCCCAGCCGCTCCACGGCATGTGGCGTGTGGGATCTTCCCGGATCGGGGCACGAGCCCGTGTCCCCTGCATCGGCAGGCGGACTCGCAACCACTGCGCCACCAGGGAAGTCCCGAGAATTCTGTTTTATTCGGGGATCTTACTGAGGACTACAGCTCTGGAAGGCAGCCTCTCAGCTGAGGAGCTGTTTGGAAGAGGTAAAGGAAGAGCCAGGAGTTTCTGTTTAAAAAAAAACAAGTAGTTGAACATCAAAAGATTACTGCTAATCATAAAAAAACAGTCGTCACAAATTAAGGATTTTAGTGCTTTTCTATGTATGGGAAGATGCAAGAGTCTGGGGTCATGGAAATTTTTCCTTTGATATGCATCTTAACTATGTAGGGTCAGTATCCTGTTTCTCTCCATTCTGAATCCCCGCAGGGTGAACGACTGGGGGCAGCTGCAGTGGCTGAGGGCTTGATGGCTGCAACATCCTTTGTTTACTGAAATGGCAGGCAACTTGTTTTGTCCAGAGTTTACATTTCCAGTGGGAGAAAACCCGCAATAAAGGAAGATAATGTCAGACAGTGGTAGGTGCTATGAAGAAAATAAAACAGGACTGTGGTGGAGTGGGGTGGTAGGGCTACTCCCGCTACTGGTCAGGAACAGCCCCTCAGAGGCAGGGACATTTGAGCTGAGACTTGTAGGAGCTAATTTTGAGGTCCGGGAGAAGGGTATTCTAGGCAGAGACAGGGGAAGGGTCAGCAAGTTCAAGTGCACCCACCTGGAAAGAGAAAGAAAGCAGGAGTAGGGGAGCAAAGGGAGCCCAGGGCAGGCAGGTGGAGACCAGGGCTTGTGGAAATCAGAGGCCAGACCCGGTGGGGTCTTGCTGGCCGTAGTGAGAAGTTTGGATTTTACTCCGAACGCGGTGGGAGAAGCCAGAGGATTTTCAGTAGGCTCACATTCCCATTTTCGTCCTGCCAGAGATCTCTGTAGCTGCTGTGTGCAGGAGCGTATAAGGCAAGAGCAGCCTGGCATCAGACCCTGCTTTCTGGTCCGCACACAGGCCAGGACCCCAGAGAAAAGCCAGCGGCAGGAGCTAGCTGCAAACACCGCACAGGGTGTAACTCTGTTGATAGGAAATATCCTAACAGGCAGATCTATGGAGAAGAAGTTGTTTAGCGATTGCCCGGAGCCTGGGGACGGGAAGGGGATTGACTGCAGCCGAGCAGGAGGAATCCTTCTGGGGTTGATGGAAATATTCTAAAATTGATCGTGACGATGGCTGCACAACTTTGTAACTTTACTAAATATCACAAAATTGTATACTCCAGTCGGGTGAACTTTATGGCACGTAAACTCAGTAAAACTCCTTTTAAAAAGCTGTGAACAGCGGAGCGAGTGGCAGCTTTTGGTCGGAGTCCGGACAGGTTCCGTGACCCCCCGCAATGCCGCCGGGTTTGCGCCGTTTGGCCCCGCAGCCTGCGCCGCCGTCGTCCGCAACTCCGGGCGCCATTGGTCGGCCGGCGGGGTGGGTGGTGGTTGGGGGGGGGGGAAGAGCGCGGGGGGGGGGGGGGGGGGACCGGAACCGGCTGTAGCCAGGGGGCGGGGCCTCGAGGGCGGCTCTGGCGGCGCCTGGAGCGGCGTCCGCGGCGGCGGGACCGGGGGTGGTTGGTGCAGACCGGAGTCCCATGGTGCGGGGCTACGGCCAGGCCGCAGGAGAAGCCCGAGCTCTGGGCCGCCCCAGCTGACCGTGCGGGCCCGCGCGGCCCGGAGCCGTTGCCGCCCTTCGGGCCCCGCGGGGGCGCGGGCCGGCCAGCCATGGGGTCCCTGTTCCGGAGCGAGACCATGTGCCTGGCGCAGCTCTTCTTGCAGTCCGGCACGGCCTACGAGTGCCTCAGCGCCCTGGGCGAGAAGGGCCTGGTCCAGTTTCGAGACGTGAGTGTCGCCCGGGAGATGCGGGCCGCACCTGCCCGCGGAACTCCCGCATCGAGGCTTTCGCTCGGGCCTCCTTTCCGTGGGCGCCTGGGCGCCCATTTCCCATACGGAGAAGCTGAGGTCCACTTTCCGGCCAGAACCTCCGCAGAGCGGGGCCCGAGCCGAGGGTCGCCGAATGTTTGGTCCGCGGCCGCCCAGGCCGGGTTAGTTAGGAACGCTCCGCGTCGTCTTCGTCCACTCGGGTCGTGCCATCTGATGCTTCGGAGCACCGACTCTGGGCCAGGCACTGGGCTAAGCGGGAGAACAAATCTGATAAGGCCTCTTGGAGCCCTTCTGGGACTTACGGGGCAGGGGGAACGTGAGAAATATTAAGTAAATGAATACGTAAACAGGAATATGTTTGCTATACAGAAAATAAAACGGGGGGATGAGATAGTGCCTCAGTTGGGGGTGGTCAGAGAGGTCTCTCTGAGGAAGTGTTCTTGGGCTGAGACCTGAATGGGCAGGAGCCGGCGCTGGTTAGATGTGGGGGAACAAGGTCCCAGGTGGAGGGAACTGGAAGAGCCAGGAGCCTGAACTGGGAATGAATTTGGTGTAAGCTCCTGAGGGGCGGGATTTTTGTCGTTTTTGTTCACCGATACCTGATGATGTACATAACACTGCCTAGGAAGGAGTTGGAGTGCAGTCAGAATTTGTTGAATGAGACCTGTCTTCCCAGCAAGTAGTAATAAACCCTTGTTTATATATCTGTTTATTTATTGTTTGTCTCCACCGTGGACTGTCAGCCCCCCCGGGGTGTGGGGTAATGGCCTTGCCTGCCTGGTTTATTCCTGATTCCTGAGTACAGTCCCTGACTTTGTGGGCACTAGTATGCCTTTGTGGAATGAATGAACAAGCTTTCATTGAGTGCTTGCTCTGTTGCAGACACGGAGTTTGGTGCTGGGGACTCAGGGGTGAGCAGGGTGGACAAAGTCCCTGTGTTTTTGTTGCTCACAATGTAGGAGAGACACACTGATTATGAACTGTGATAAGTGCCCTGAAGGAAAAGAGCAGTGTGAAAGGGAGATTATGAAGCAGGACCTTTGCTAATTGAACTGGAATTCACTTGGATGAACATTTTATTTCCTGGGACCCAGCTTTCATCTCCTCTGGTTTCCCTTCGTCTTTCTGAGGGCTCCTTAGTTTCAAGAGGGAACCACCCGTACCTAAGATCTGGTGTCGTTGATCCCTGGGTTGGCCTCACAAGGCAACTGCCAGGTCAGAGAGAAACTCCTGAGTGGGAGGCGAGGCTGCAGAGAAGGCCCAGCTCTTCCTGGTTCCTGGAGCCATTTGGGCTTCAGCACGCAGTGCCCACTTTGCTGGCAGGTGCTGCTGTGCTGAGCTGTGACTTAGTAGCACCCGAAAGATTCAGGAAACAGTTGTGAGAGAAATGGGCTTCCTTCTTTATAACAGGTAGATTTCTTCCATCCTGTTAGTACTCAGGCCAAGAGGCTTAAATCAAGCTTAAATCTTAGAGGTTTGAACAAACACCCTAATTACCGCAAAGATGCAAGTTTCATTGAGTGCCATTACATTAGGTAGTAGGGGACACTTGGGATTCTTTTAAACTGAAAATTGGGGAAAGAAAAAGAAAGTGCAGTTCATCTTTTTCCAGAAGTAAAATAAAGCTGCCGTGTTAAAGTGAGCTCTTCTTTGTGTGATGCTAGGTTTTCGGAGCTCAGGGGTGTGTGTGTGTGTGTGTCTGTCTGTCTGTCTTTGGGATGACTGTCAAGCAGCACCGGTGCTAGTGCAGAAAGCTCTGTCACCTGACACTTCTGCTCTTCTGGAATTTCTTCCTGACTTTGCGCTCACCAGGTGGGATCCCTGACGTCCGTCTTTTCTGATTTGCACAGGCTGGAGAGTTTCCGCCTTTCCTTTTAGTGATCCTTCTAAGGGAGAGGAGGCAGGGCAAGGGTTTCTGTAGTGACAGCCAAAGAGAAGACCTGGAAAAGAAAGGTTATTCAACTCACCAGTAGGACTCAGTGAAGGGCAAGTCCATCTCTCTTTTCTAAGGGTCTGGAATTTGAGGACAGCGTTCACCTTTTGTCCATTAGCTGCTGGAGTGGGAAGATGGGTGGCGTGGATACCAGTCACAACAGCACCAGGCAGCCTCTGCTGGTTTTTCTAGGTTAAATGTTAGTGTTAAAACGAATCTGCATTAAAATGTACTTCATAGGGCTTCCCTGGTGGCGCAGTGGATAAGAATCCGCCTGCCAGTGCAGGGGGCACAGGTTTGATCCGTGGTCTGGGAAGATCCCACATGCCGCGGAGCAGCTAAGCCCGTGCGCCACAACTACTGAGCCTGCACTCTAGAGCCTGCGAGCCACAACTACTGAGCCCGCGTGCTGCAATACTGAAGCCCGCGCGCTTAGAGCCTGTGCTCCGCAACAAGAGAAGCCACCGCAATGGGAAGCCCGCGCACCGTGACAAAGAGTAGCCCTGGCTCTCCACAACTAGAGAAAACCTGCATACAGCAACAAAGACCCAACACAGCCTAAAATAAATAAATAAATTTTAAAAAATGTACTTTATAGCGTTAGCCTGGAATTAAAGGTGCTGTTGCCTCCCTAAAAAGAAAATAGAAGCAAAACTTTATAAAAGAAACCGTGCAACAGAAAAAACCAGTTAACGTACTGTGTAAGATGGTGACGGTGGATGTCAGATCCAATCGTGTGTGTTGTTGCCACAGAAATTTGCCTCTTCGTGAAGATTCTATATGTGGAACCATAGTGTCCAATTTGAGTTAGTGTTTGATATTGACGAAAAAGACAGTGAAACTGAGCAGTCATGTCATTAATAGACAGCTTTTGATGGGTAGCTTCCTCTGCTCATTCTTAGTTCTATTGAGATAGATTGTGTCTGCATCATTAGGACTCGAAAGTGGTTACTACTTTGGATTAATATGACTTCCAGAAATGAATGCGAATGTGACAAACAAGTGAAATTCAAATTTTTATCTTTCTTCTGGTTAACTCTTTAAAAAAAATTTCCAAAAACTGAACAAGAACCAAGCCTTTGGGATAGACATTCTCAGGTTGTTCAAGCAGCTTCATGCCAAGCTGAAGCATGTTTCTAATTCTCCTTTTTGAGTGCCCAGTATAATGCTGCACGGAGTGAAGGTAAAATTCTTGCCCCAAATGCCTTTCAACATGAATGATTACTGTAATTTAAAAGATTGTGAAAGTAATATACGTCCATTGTGGGAAATTTGGGAAGCATGAGATACTAATTTCCATGATCCCATTACCTAGAAACAAACACTTTACCTTTTTGGTTCATATTGTCCAATCAAACATTATTTTTCTAATATTATTATTAATTTTTAAAAATAAATTTATTTATTTTTGGCTGCGTTGGGTCTTTGTTGCTGTGCATGGGTTTCTCATTGCGGTGGCTTCTCTTGTTGCAGAGCATGGGCTCTAGGCGCGCGGGCTTCAGTAGCTGTGGCTTGGAGGCTCTAGGGCACAGGCTCAGTAGTTGTGGCGCACGGGCTTAGTTGCTCCGCAGCATGTGGGATCTTCCCGGACCGGGGCTTGAACCCGCATCCCCTGCATTGGCAGGCGGATTCTTAATCACTGCGCCACCAGGGAATCCCTCTAGTAATATTTTAAAATGTATGTACATAGGTATTTTTAGATAATTGGAGCCACACTGATAATATCTTTAGTCTTTTTTCACACACAAATCATGCATGACTAATTTCCTCATTTTATTAAATATTGTTTTACAATTTTTTTATGGTTTTAAGCTTTATATGGTAAGATGTTTTTGTTTTAATAAATTTATTTATTTTTGGCTGCGTTGGGTCTTCGTTGCTGCGCACGGGCTTTCTCTAGTTGTGGCGAGCAGGGGCTACTCTTTGTTGTGGTTCGCGGGCTTCTTATCGCGGTGGCTTCTCTTGTTGCGGAGCACGGGCTCTAGGTGCGCAGGCTTCAGTAGTTGTGGCACAGGGGCTCAGTAGTTGTGGCTCGTGGGCTCTAGAACGCAGGCTCAGTAGTTGTGGCTCGTGGGTTTAGTTGCTCCGCTGCATGCGGGATCTTGCCGGACCAGGGCTCAAACCTGTGTCCCCTGCATTGGCAGGAGGATTCTTAACCACTGCGCCACCAGGGAAGTCCTGATAAGATGTTAAGTAAAGGGGAGAGTATATGGGAACAGTGAACTGTGGACCCATATTATAAACCAATGGTGGGACTTCCCTGGGGGTCCAGTGGTTAGGACTCGGCGCTTTCACTGCCGGGTCCGGGTTTGATCCCTGGTTGGGGAACTAAGATCTCAAAAGCCGTGTGGTCCAAAAAAACCCAAAAAAACCCCACCCATCAGACAAGATCATTTTGAAGCAAATCCCAGTTGTATAATTTCACTCATAAATATCTCTAAAAGGTAAGGACCCTAAAAAAATCATAACCACAATACCATTATCATACCTAAAAATTTTAATAATAATTTCTTAATATAATCAAATACCTCATCATTTAAAACATACTTTTTAATAAGTGCATAGTAATCAGTTATATTACTGAGCCATAATTTTTATCCAACTTTATTGATGTGTGTCATAAAATTCACCCGTTTCAAGCGTACAATTCGTTGGTTTTTAGAAAATTTTCTGAGTAGCATGTCCATTGCCACAATCCAGTTTTAGGCCGTCACATCATCCCAATAAGGTCCCTTATGCTCATTTACAGGTCATCCCCCTCCCTACCCCAAGACCCAGGCAATCACTAACCTACTTTCTGCCTCTAGGTTTTCCTTTCTTGGACATTTCATAGGAATGGAGTCACACAATATGTGGCCTTCTGTGTCTTTCATTCACATCATGTTTCTGAACATCCTCTGTGCTGTTGTTTTGTCGGTTTGTTCCTTTTCACTACTGAGTAGTGTTGCCCAGTGTGGATATAGACTGTGATTTCTTTAACCAGTTTTCCACTGTTAAGCATTTTTTCTCTATCTCTGAGGTGGATGCTCTTTTAGATACATTTTGGTCCGTATCCATAGTTTGTTCCTTTAGGTTGAATTTCTTCACGGGATATTTCTGGGCCAGAGGATACTTTTCAGGCTTTTTTTTTTGGTAACAGTTGCCAAATGGCTTTCCAGAAAAGATGTGTCAGTTTATACTCCTATTCAGTAGTATACAAGGATATGCTTCCCCCCAAACCCTTGACTATCATATTTTATTTATAAAATCAAGTTTATTTTTAAACTGTAGAAAATTCAAAGCAAAATTTTCATCTTTTTCTCAGCTGAACCAGAATGTAAGTTCTTTCCAAAGAAAATTTGTTGGTGAGGTGAAGAGGTGTGAAGAACTAGAGCGAATATTGGGTAAGTTTATTTTAATAACTTAAATAATTATTGTTATATAAGTAAACCTTGTTCACTTTAGAAAAATTAGAAAATCTAGACAAGTAGAAAGGAAAAAAGAAGTCGTCCATATTCTCACCATTCATGTATTCACTATTATGTAGGTTTATATATTTTTTTACTGTTCATCTATACAAGTAAGGATTTACGTACATAATGGTCAGGTTATTTTGTTATTAGCTTTGTTTCTCATTTGATGGTACTTTCACATCTTTTCATGTCAATAAACAGATTGACTCATCATTGTTTATAATGGTTGCATAGTATTTTATGGTATTAATGTGCTATAATTTATTTAGCCAATCCCTTGTAATCTATTATAACTTAAAAACATTGTATACACATTAATAGATTACTTAAAATTATATCAGAGAACAGGGGAGGTAGGAAATGGCAGATACATTGGTTATAATTTCCTTTTTTTCAGGGCTTCCTTTGCAGAGATCAGTGCTCTCTGACTGTTAACCATTAAAACTCAGCCGTAAAACCTTTAACGTCTTAGCCTAAAATAAAATAGTCTGTATCAATTCAAACCTTGAAATTCTGACTGAAATAGAGAGGGGGGGAACGATGCCAGTAATTGTCTAAAGTACCAAATTTGTTTTTAGAGGGATGAACAGAAAAACCTGGGAGTGAGAGTGTTGAGGAGGGGAGAGAAGATGACTTTTGGAATGATTTCTAATAGCAGTTAATTATTGTGGATTTTATATTTTTTAATTGGGGATTTTTAAGATCGAAAGAAACCTGTTAGTCATCTGAAGTCTAGTCGTCTGCATATTGTTTGAGGTCCCAGTTATTTGTGTGGATCATGTAGGGCAGGGTGATACCACATCCCCATCCTTGCCATATATATAAGTCATTGGACAGGTCGTATATTTGGAATGAGTTTTCAAAGGCGGGGCAGGAGTGACAACACATTAGACGTGTCCAGGACTTCCTGTAGCTTAGACTATTTCAAAAAGAATGCAGACTTAAAAAGAAAATGAACTCTCAAGTAAATTTAGGTATAAAAAATAGGTTAAAAAAATTTACATCCATTTCCAGAAAGCTGTTAAACCCAGTGCTTCCTTTGCTATCTTATGGGTAAGACATCATCGCTTTTCTTCCTCCCTTCTCCCTTCCTCCTTCCCTTTCTCCCTTTCTTCCTTCCTTCCTTTCTTTCTTTCTCTTTTTCTTTCTCTCTCTCTCTTTCTAATAAAATAACTAGTTAACATTTCTCCAAAATATTATATCTGGTAATGACTTTACCGGGTATTATGACTTTTATCCTAAGGAAAAGAACGCTTCATGGAATTGAAAATGTAAACTAAAGAAATTAAGTTTTTTTTGGCTGGTTCATTATTAGTTTCATGAATCTAGTTTTTAATGTAAGTAGAGAAGGCAGTGTAAGTTGCTCTAAGTTAAAACATCACGGCTAACTGGGGACTCAGGAGAACCTGACTTTCTGTCTTGTGGTCTCCTCCTTATAGAGGAGACTGATAGAGGATGTGTTTTTCCTGATGGATGTGTATTTCCTCCTAATGGTGTCTGCAGGGAGGTTGCACTGACGTCTCTGGTGGGGACGATTATAGGTCCATCATTGGATTATTCCTGCACTTCCAAGTGTGTCCTTAACCTTCTGCTTCCTATACAGGTGCAGAGGCAACTGTGACTCCAAAGTTCTTTAACTAGAGTTTTAGAAATGAAGGACGTGGGGAATTTCAGAAAATGTGTATCCAGGTTACTGTTTGTTTTGTCACTGCACGCTGATCTCTCTAGGCAGCATTATTTTGCAGATCTTTGGAAACAAGGCTGCAAAAGGCATCCTATCAGTCAGTTGGGACAGGCAAGATTTTATGCATTTAGACATTAGTTTTTAGATGACCTGGGAAAGGTTGGGATGTAAAATGTTCTCACTGAAATGTCCTGTAGTAAGTTTTTGAGTCTAATTTGTTTAACTTTTATTTCCACAGCATATTTGGTGCAGGAAATTAATAGAGCTGATATTCCCCTCCCTGAGGGAGAGACCAGTCCTCCTGCACCACCCCTGAAACAAGTGCTCGAAATGCAGGTAACTGGTTTCTGAAGAAGCGGTTTTAGGTCACTGACCTCAGAGACTGCTTATTCACTTACTTTATATTGTCTTGTGCTTTTCTGCCTTTCTTCTCAAAACTGTGGAATGAAAAGCAAAAGACCGTATTATGGTTAATTCTCAGTAACAGGTTATCTGTGATAAATTTTAACTGGAATTCGGTTTTCTTTTAAAATGTAAGACAGGGCTTCCCTGGTGGTGCAGTGGTTAAGAATCCACCTGCCAATGCAGGGGACACGGGTTCAAGCCCTGGTCCGGGAAGATCCCACATGCTGTGGAGCAACTAAGCCCTGCGCCACAACTACTGAGCCTGCGCTGTAGAGCCCGTGTGCCACAACTACTGAGCCTGTGCTCTAGAGCCTCCAAGCCACAGCTACTGAAGCCCGCGTGCCTAGGGCTTGTGCTGCACAACAAGAGAAGCCACCATGAGAAGCCTGCGCACAGCAACGAAGAGTAGCCCCCGCTTGCTGCAACTAGAGAAAGCCCGTGTGCAGCAACGAAGACCCAACGCAGCCAAAAATAAAAATAAATTAAAAAAAAAAAAGAATATATTAGAAAAAAATAAAATGTAAGACAGGTGGTATTGAACAGAGACTAGCAAGAGTTAGGTTGTGAGATCTGGGCTCATGTGATGTGACCTCCGGGCCTGTGCAGGCCTTAGCAAGCCTCTCCTGCTGCAAGTCACGGAGGCTTCAGGCCTGTGCCCTTCGCATTCTCCCCAGTTCACCCTGACCCTTCCCCCTCTTAATTTTCAGAAGCTCGTGTGAAGGTGCCAGGTGGTTCCCCATGGGCAGCGAATGAAATTCCTTCTTCTGGAGTCCCCCACCACCGTGAGAGCACAGGCTTGTACATTAGCATCCCCCCTTTCCCCCCATGAATTATCTCCTGAGGTTTTGCTCTAGTCATCTGATAATTCATCACGCTGGGAAATAGACTAGAGCCCTTTACAGCTCTTCTAAAACAATTAGTACTGTATGATTAGGACCGTTCCATTGCTGGCTGCTCTGTTCGTTTTTCTGGGAGGATGTCATTTAACAGTTGGTATATGAATGGACTCTAGAGAGAACTGTACAGTCAGATGAGAGCAGTCATCTGGTTTGGCCTGTTTGGTGTGTTGCTTTTGATGTAATTACAAATATAGTGATTACCGGCTGCTTATCGTTTATATAAGGCAGAACACAAGAACTGAATGTAGCGTGTCAGGTGATTTGTCTGAATACCGTGTGTTGTTTTACAGATTTCTGCTTCTATCATTTTAATACTTAAGGATTGTTAAGGATGCTTGGTATATAACTAATTGTTAAAGAAGATTTGTTCTCAAGTATTTTTATGCTTAATTAATTGTGTTAAGTGAAGCTGCATAGAAACTCTTAAGCTAGAGACCAGGAATAATATGTTTGGGAAAGATTACCTAAAATTTTTCTGTGTTGCAAATAAAAGGAAATGTAGTCTTGAAAAAGGAAAACTCTTTGGTGTATTGGTAATGGATAAGCAGATGAAGGGAAACCAGAAGAAATGACAGGACCTGAGATTAGAGATTGGGTCCAGCCGTAGGGCACTCATAGTCATCACGGCATCTGCGCGCTTGTCGTCACAGGTACCTGGATTAACATGCAGCAGATGATGGACTTTAAAAATCTGTGCCTGGGCTTCCCTGGTGGCGCAGGGGTTGGGAGTCCGCCTGCCGATGCAGGGGACACGGGTTCGTGCCCCGGTCCGGGAAGATCCCACATGCCGCGGAGTGGCTGGGCCCGTGAGCCATGGCCACTGAGCCCGCGCGTCCGGAGCCTGTGCTCTGCAACGGGAGAGGCCACAACAGTGAGAGGCCCGCATACCGCAAAAAAAAAAAAAAAAAAAAATAAACCTGTGGCTGTTTTCATATCCCTATCAAACTCTCATACATTATGGCTTTTTAAAACCTCTACTAGTTCTGGGGTACTGTGAAAAGAGTATTAGAACCAGACTTGGAACTAACCCTGCTGCCGTTTCATTTCAGGAGCAGTTGCAGAAGCTGGAGGCTGAGCTGAGGGAGGTCACGAAGAACAAGGAGAGGCTGAGGAAGAACCTTCTGGAGCTGACCGAGTACACCCACGTGCTGCGAGTGAGCAAGGCCTTCGTCAGGCGCGACGTGCAGGTGCTGGCAATGCTCGGGAGGAAGTGCATTTCTTCCTTTCTTTTGGTTGCGCCACGCGGCACGCAGGTTCTTAGTTCCCTGACCAGGGATCAAACCCGTGCCCCCTGTAGTGGAAGCGCGGAGTCTTCACCACTGGGCCACCAGGGAAGTCCCAGAAGTATATTTCTTTTATAAAATTCTCGTTCCCGTAAAGTTTCGGGTTTTGTTATCAACTCCTGTAGAGGTGTTGCTTTTTAAAAGAGATAGAGGGACTTCCTCATTGGAAAAGATACTCCTTACTCAACAAGGAATAGCCCCCGCCCGCCGCAACTAGAGAAAGCCTGTGCACAGCAATGAAGACCCAACGCAGCTAAAAATTAAAAAAAAAAAAAAAAAAAAGAGATACATTAAAAAAAAAATGAGATACATTTTGATCTTACCTTTATCTTTCAGTTGGATTATATGACATTAAAAGAAGCTTTAAGCCTCTTCTTTGTTGGTTTGTTTTAAACATAACCACTTCCTATTCATGAAATGCTTTAGTTTGCAGTTGAAAAAATCTTACGATCATGAGAAAAAATTGAACACTGGAAGTCAAACTCTATAATTTAGTTTGTTTTTTTTCCTTCTCAAATTGCTGAGAGTAATGGAATTAAAAAAAAAAATCTGTATGGGAATAAAGAACAGCCTATGCAGTAGTACAGTACTCAGCTGAGTATCAGAGAGGGGAGAAGTATGTCCCTTATGAACTTTGTTTCACTTCCTGTAGCGGTGACCTCTGATACAGTTACTCTGTCTTGGATTAAGGCAATGACATAAATTATAACTATACTTTTAAGTAAATGTCTTCAACTAGCTTACAAATAAGAGACAGGGAAGCTATGCTCTTTATCTATCAGAGCTGAGTTACGTGTCTGAGTTACCTTGGGGCCTTGGCACCCAGATCTGAGTTCCCATGCCCTGCAAACTTGTTTGGAAACACAACTTGAGAATTAAAGTGTCACTTTCAGTGAGACACACTTGGTTTCATATCTCTTTGTAGTTTGAACCCACTTACGAAGAATTCCCTCCCTTGGAGAACGATTCTTTGTTGGACTACAGCTGTATGCAGAGGCTGGGAGCAAAACTGGGGTAAGTGACAACTGGCGGGTCGAGCTTTACACTGTCCTTCTTAGTGGGAGACGAGCTGTGTTGAGTGGAAGCACGGCCACCATCTGAAAGCCTGTGGTGGAATGAAAGAAAGTGAATATTTAAGAAAACACTGTACTCCTGTATTTGTTGAGTTGAATCACTCAGCTGTATTGACCTTTTAGCTAAATACGATGGGAATTTCTTCTTTCAGTATAATGAGGTGGAAAGAAGGAATTTATGCCAGTTATGCCATTCTTCGTTACTCCATAGCCTAAAATAATTGGTCATTGAAGCGTCAAGTCCTGTTTTGTTTGGTGGAAACATAGGGGCTAAACTGAGTTGGTTAATTTATTAATCGTATTTTAAGGGTGTCTTTCTACTGTTCACTCTCTCTGTTTACTTGAACTAATGGTAACTTATTTCCTCACGTGATTTGTGATTTCTTTTTATTATGAACTGTTCCTCTATTCCTTATGTGTAGGAATTCAATGATGTTTAGTTTGAGGCTGTATTCTTTCAGAGAGAACTTATTTTTATGTATGTCAGGTACTTGGGAGCACTCTACCTACCTGGAATCATTTTACGTTAATTTCCCAGCTTGAGTTTCTTTGTTTTTCTGTTTGTTTTCTCTCTGCCTGATGCATCCTAACATGTGGTTGTAAATTCTCAAGTAACACTCTTCCCCTTCTCTCCAAAACCAAAGCCGAAATAAACAAGTTTGCTTGTAGGCTCCTTTGCAAGGTGGATTTTTTTCTAGTCCACCCATTCACTTAAGGTGTAGCCCTTTGTTGGGGGGCAAGAGTCCCAACTTTGTGGGGATTGGGGGTTCAGTTCCATCTCTTCACCTGATATCGACCCAGAGCCCATCTCCTGTCTCCCTTGCTGGCATTGAAACCCAAGGCCTTAAGATACTGGGTCAGTATAATACATCAGGGCACAGCTACGAGGTCCTGTTTTATTTTTGGAATCCAAGAATTTCTCGAAATTATGGGCTCAGCTCTACATTGAAGAGGACGTTTCAAAAATATTTTATGCAGCATTTCAGATATTTTGCAGTTGGAGGGCTTTGAGGATATCGCCAGCACTTGGGCAGGCGTGAAGGGCTTCGCCGCCCTCTTCATGCGGTTTGGTAATCCTCATTGCGCTTACTAGACCACAGCCTTTGGTGTCTCACAGATTTGTGTCTGGCCTCATTAACCAAGGGAAAGCTGAAGCATTCGGGAAAACGCTGTGGCGAGCCTGCAGAGGGCACAGCATCGTGACGCACGCAGAGCTGGAGGGGCCCCTGGAAGACCCTGAAACGGTGAGTGGGCACCCCTTCCCCGTTTAGCAGTGGCGGACTTTGTGCTGAAGCTGGAGGCACAGCGCAGAGCAGAGCACTTCAGTGAGCTGTCCACCACGTGCCTTGGCATCCTTGGATGCGTTTGGGGGGTAGTTCTTAACATGGAGGACTCTCTCCCATACCGCCATAGTATGCCTGGGATGTTGACGTGGATACGTCGCCACCCTCCCAGCCTCAGATCCTGTTTGGGTTTCACCAGCCGTCCCAACACTGTCTGTTTTTTTTTTTTTTTTTTGGCATTTATTTATTCATTTATTTATTTGCGGCTGCGCAGCACGCGGGATCCTAGTTCCCCGACCAGGAATGGAACCCGGGCCCCCTGCAGTGGAAGCTCGGAGTCCTAACCACCGGACCGCCAGGGAATTCCCACAATACTGTCTTTTATAGCAAAGGATCTAGTTTAGAATCAGGCCTTAGACTTAATTGTCATGTCTCTTTGGTCTCCTTCATTCTGGGATAATTTCTCAGTCTTACCTTGACCTTCGTGACCTGGACCTTTAAAAATTATTACAGACCAGTGGTTTTTATTTTGGTAGAATGCCGCTCTGTTTGGGTTTGCCTGATGTTTTCTCATGATTAGATTCAAGTTATGTGTCTTGGGCAGGAAGTGATGCTGCTTCCCATCAGGGGTGCACAATTCCTTTGTCCCATTACTAGTGATGTTCACTTTGATCACTTGCTCAAGGTAGCGACTCCTAAGCTTCTCCACTGTGAATTTATTACTCCATTTCCTTTGTATTTAGTACATGTTTTGGGGGAGGTGCTTTGAAACTCTGTAAGTACTCAATTTCTCATCAGATTTTCAGTGCATTAATTTATTTCCTGTTTTATTCAATGAGTTATACTCTGTTACTGTAATTATTTTGATATTCACATGCTCTAGATTTGGCCATTGGAGCCCATTTAGCTGGCTTTTATCTTCTTTTTACATGTTCCCATCATTTTTTGAATGCTTCTTTGCTTTCCTGCATAACAAGATGTCCCGATTCATCTTGTAATTTCCCTCACGCAGCTCTGGAATCAGCCATTTCTCCAAGGAACCTGGTTCTCTTTAGTGGAGAACGGTAATTAGAAGCCAGGATGCGGTCTCCGGGTGTGCCCGTGGGGACTGAGGTGTCGCTGTTCCCAGCTCTGTCAGTGGACAGCTCTAGGACGCACACACGCACACGGCTCACACACACTCACAGCTTTATTTCTGTACCTGTGTGTATATATGAAAACTGTGAGTTTACATCCAATTCCAGTCCAACACCACAGGGTTCATTCTAAGTTGTTCTCTTTCTGTGTTTGTAACTCCTTTCTTCAGTGGTGGGAAACTTGGCTCCCATTATTGTTAATGTACTGATTTGATCAGTCCCCTTGTGTGTGACCAGTCTGCCCATTGATTTCCCATCTCTGCTGCCCCGCTCCTCTCTCTGCATGGAGCTCCGAGTTCCCCAGCCCCCAGCCCGGGTTGTCCCCTAGTGTGGACTGCAGGGCCTCCTCACTTTGCTTGGGCTCTGACTTTGCCCTGGGCCACTGTTGCCCCCCCCCCCCCCCCAGGTCCATCCCCAATGCACATCTAAGGCTTCAGGAATGAATTATTCAGGAAGGGAGGCAGGGCAGCCAAAGCCATCATTACCTTTTAAAATAGCTGTGATTTTTTTTTTTTTTAAAGACTTCACCATAAAAATAACTATTATATATTGGTCTAAGTGAGGATGAACTGATCTACTAAGGGTAGGAAAGGAACTTGGGGATTCTCAATTTTGAGAAAAGCGTTCGTGTTTTCTTTCCTAGATTTGCCTCAGGATTTTTGGCTATAAGATTAATAGTTTTGACACCTAAAGGAGTTTGGCTGTGAAATAATTTTCATAAGGTTCAGCCTAAGTAAACCACACAGGTTGGAAAATCTAATCAGTCAAGCTGTTCGTTAACCATACACCTGTAATATTTTTTGTGGCTCCTGAAACTGCCAGTAGCAATATGTTGATTATCCTTCACCTGTGACCATTACACCTCTCTATGTAAAGGTGAAGATTAAAACTGTTCTGAAGTAGCATTTACATGTTCTTTGAGTTTTTTCTTTAATTAAAAGAACATATCCATCATTCTCATGCAGAGCATTTACTCTGTAAAAAATATTTTTTTTCTATACAGTGTCTAAGCTCTTTTGTGCTGAGTTTTTACCGGATTTGTTAAAGGGCATTAAATGTCTGTGAAGAAATATGGAGACATGGTTAGAGATATATATATTTTTTTAAAAAATTCTTTACTTTTTTTTCACTTCTAATTTTTTTGTTGAAGTATAATTGGCAGATTTTCTCTTGAAACTACAACTCCTCCCTCCCCCATGATTACAAAGGAAATGCGTGCTCGTTATTAGAAAATTGGGAACAATATAGAAAACATGAAGAAGAAAATCAGTCACCTGTAATCCTCCTGCTTAGAGAGAGTCGCTATTTATGTTTCAGTGTGCATTCTGTTAGTCCTTGTTCTGGGGAGGATATGAGATTTGATTTGGTAACTTTTACTCAGGTTCGAGGATTTATTTATAGTGTCATGTTTAATACCTTTTGGGTCGACCCCTTGAAGTCCTTACAGACCCCAGAGCATATTTCTAGCCATTTTCCCCTTTGTCAGTATCGTTTCTAGATGCTGACCAGTCTCTCTGTCAGAGCTGGGCTCAGGCAGTTTCATGTGGTTTTATGATTTGTATTTTTTATGTTGCATACATCCGTGTTCCATATGATGTCTTAGGTGGTTGTATTCCCTGACACAGTACTATTTTTAAAATTGTTAAGGAATCTTCAAATTCAGATGCACTATAAATACCATTTCTTTCTTCCCCCTGGGTATTTTCTTTCTTTTTTTTTTTTTTAAACACTTTTTAGACATGAATATCCTAGTTTATTAGGTAAGAATTTCACAAACATTACTTTTTTTTTTTTTAATTTTATTTTTTGGCTGCTTTGGGTCTTCGTTACTGTGCACGGGCTTTCTCTAGTTGCGGCGAGCAGGGGCTCCTCTCCGTTGCGATGCGTGGGTTCCTCATTGTGGTGGCTTCTCTTGTTGTGGAGCACAGGCTGTAGGCACGCAGGCTTCAGTAGTTGTGGCACATGGGCTCAGTAGTTGTGGCTCGTGGGCTCTAGAGCGTGGGCTTAGTAGTTGTGGTGCACGGGCTTAGTTGCTCCGCGACATGTGGGATCTTCCCAGACCAGGGCTCGAACCCATGTCCCCTGCATTGGCAGGCGGATTCTTAACCACTGTGCCACCAGGGAAGTCCCCCCTGTGTAGTTTCTTCAATAGTTTATTTTGAAATAATTTCAGTTTACAGAAAAGTTGCCAGAAGAGAACAAAGTCTTCTGTCTCTTCACCCAGATTTCCCAATTATTAACATTTTGCCACATATACTCCACTCACTCTTTCTGCATATCTATCCCCATTTTCATTAGGCTCCTTCCAGACCTTCTGCGAGGAAGCTGTGGACATGTGTGTGTTGCCCCCTCATAACGACACTATTTTATATAACCACTGTACAACCCTCAAAATGAGAAAAATCAACACAGATGCAACACTTGGTCCAATACAAACGTGCCACTCAAATTCCCCACAGTTTGCATTGTTTCCTTTCTGGTCCACTGCCCTGCCTGGGACTGTGCTTTGCATTCGGGGCAGGCGTCACATTCTGCAGGATGACCCTCCCTTGGGGTCCATTCTGTGCTTCCTCTTGACCAGGCTCGGATCACACGTTGCTGGTGGGAACACCACGGAGTCAATTATCTGGTCCTCTCAGCACCTCCCACCAGGAGGCACGTAATATCGGCCTGGTCATGTTGGTGTCGTCCAGGTTTCTCCACCTTCATGTCACCATCTTGCTCTATTTAATTGATCAGTAGCTGGTGAGGAGGTGTTCCTAGGTTACTGGGGGCTTGTTCCTCAGCAGACCTCTGCTCACCAGCCTCAGCCTCCACGATGACTCTCTTGAACCCATCACCTCTGTTGCGGTTGCCAGGTGGTTACTCTGTTCCCATCCTTCCTTCTGTACTTACTAGTTACCGTCCTGCAGGAGGCCGTGCTTTCCCTGCCCTCTCAGTCACTCGCTCATTCATCCACGGACTTAGGCATTCCTATTTATTTAATGACTTGTAATCTGTTACGATCCTTTTTATTATTTATTTAAAATTATTTATTTATTTTTGGCCACGCTGGGTCTTCGCTACTGTGCGCGGGCTTTCCTCTAGTTGCAGCGAGTGGGGGATGCTCTCCGTTGTGGTGCACGGGCTTCTCATTGCAGTGGCTTCTCTTGTTGCAGAGCACGGGCTCTAGGCACGTGGGCTTCAGTGGCTGTGGCACGTGGGCTCAGTAGTTGTGGCTCACGGGCTGTAGAGTGCAGGCTCAGTAGTTGTGGCGCACGGGCTTAGTGGCTCCACGGCATGTGGGATCTTCCCGGACCAGGGCTCGAACCCGTGTCCCCTGCATTGGCAGGCGGATGCTTAACCACTGGCCACCAGGGAAGTCCCAGTCCTTTTTACTTTGATGCCCAAATTGTCCCTGATTTGGCCACTGGGAGTCCCTTCGTGCGTGTTCCCCTGGCCTTTGGCACGTCTGCGGCATTCACTGAGCAGCCCCTTCCTTCCTGGCACCACGGGATGGTCCCTGCCTCTGTCTGGAGCCAGCCATTCCTTCAAGGGCCGCTGGTTCCTTTTAGTAGAGGATGGAATTTAGAAACAAGGATCTGGGTGTTTGAGTTCTCATCATGTACTGGAGTGTCATTGCTTCTGGGCCCTTTCAGCAGTCAAAACATGGACACACCCACCCACACGCACACGCACAGAGCTGTATCCGCTCCTGCAGCCACCTGTGCACATTTATTATAAAACCGTTTGCTCACACTCTAACCTACGATTCTGGACGTCTCTTTTTCGGTGTTTTGCACTCTCTTCTGACAGCGAGAAATCTGGCCTCCCTCATCCTCAGTGCGGTTCATGAACTGTGCGATTCGCTTGCTTATCCCACGTAACCAGCCTCCCAGACACCTCAGCCATCTCCTCCGCCCGCCACCTCCCTGGCCTCCCCTTCCCGGCCGCCCTGCACCCCTCCCTTCGGGACCCAAGTGCCTCTGCTCTGCCTGAAGCTCCCCAAACTGTTCCCCATCCCCTCCGCCCCAGAGCTCAATTCTTGGATTGCTTCTCTCCTCTGTGCCCTTAGGGATCCCGTGTAACTTCATGGCTTTAAATACCATCCCTCGAATGTGTACATCTGGCTTGGACCTCTCCCCTGAATACCAGACTTCTATTTAACTGGCTCCTCCATACCTTTGAAGTTTCTGGAAGACCTTTCCATGTGACACCTAAAACTGAACTGCCCATCTTCCCGCCCAGACCTGCCCGTCCAGGCTGGCCCGTCTCAGTAAGCGCCAGCTCAGCTCTTCTCCGCCCAGCATCCAGAATGATCCCTGTAAAACCAGTCAGAGCGTCTCACCACCACACCCCCGTCCCGCCTCAAAGCCCTCCTGTGGCTTCCTCTTCACGGCGTCCCATCTTGTCACCCCCTGGCCATTCCTCTTCAGCCAGGCTGGCCTGCTCGCTTCCCCTCGTCTTGCCTCTGCACGAGCTTTTCCTCGGGCTCAGGAGGCTCTTCCCCAGGATCCACGTGGCTCGCTCCCTCACCCCCTTCACTCCTCTAGGCCCAGATGTCCCCTTCTCAGGGAGGCCTTCCCTCCTCGTCTGATTTAAAAGCTCAACCCCCAGCCTCTTTGTCCCTGTCACCCCTCCCAGCTTTATTGTCTTTATCGCCCTCCTCTCCATTTGGCATATTATGAACTTTCCTAGTGTCCCTTGCTGCTAACTTGATATAAGCTTCCCTCCCCTCCCTTCCCTCCCAGGTCAGGGATTTTTGTCTGTTTTGTTCACTGTTGTATTCCTAGCACTGGGAACCAGTGCCTGGCAAATTGGCCAAAAACCTATTCAGTTCTATTTGTAGAATATTTGTAAATACAGTCAGTTCTCATTATTTGTAGTAGTTAACATTGTACAGTCTCCGTGAGAACTGAACCCTTGCTCTTAGGGGAAGCACAGGGTTAGGTTCCTGTGAGTCTCTGGTCATAACATTCTTGTCAGCCAATCACTACATAACCTTGTTTTATTTAAAGACACCTTATTTAATATATACTGTTGATTCATTAACATTGAACTCACTGCCAACCGCACCATCACGCCTGTCTGAACAAAGCTTATGGGACACACGTAAGTGCATGTCACAGCCTTCATGTGCTCGGAAACACTAGACAGCTCTGAGGACCATTTTGAACAGTGAAATCACCAAAAAAAGCACAAAACTGTGAAAAACTTGGCGCTAAATAGATCACAAAAAGGACACTTGTTTATAGTATGAGCTGAAATAAGAAGGCAGAGGGTCACCTTGTTTGACCTCAGCAGGAATATGCACATTGGGTGACTCAAAATTTTTGTCGCTCTGCATGTCCACAAATGAATAAATGCTTGAGTATTGATTTGGGGGTTATGAATGATTTCTGGGGTGAATTTGCAATTATGGAATCTGCAGATAATGAGGATGGACAGTGTTTAGTGTTTGTTGAATGAATGAATGAATGAATGAACTAACTCTGACAGAGTGCGAGCTGCCAGAGTTTTCAAAGTTCTAGACAGAGAAGTAACAGTTATCTTTATTCTTTGTAGGGAGAAGTCATAAAATGGTATGTGTTTTTGATATCCTTTTGGGGAGAGCAGATTGGCCACAAGGTTAAGAAGATATGTGACTGGTAAGAAAAAGAAACATTTTATTTCATTTATTTCTTTATCCTCAGTAACCTCTAGTTTTCTTAAAATATGTCTCTGAAGAGAAATACAGTGGTTACAAAGGCTGCTGAGTTTTGTTACATGATTTCTTTGCTGTAATACCATGTTTTAAAACATTTAATTTGTCATCTCTCTTGCCAGTGTAATACTTAAAATAATTTAAAAATAGACACCATGTTAAGAACATTCCCAGATTTGATTTTTTTCCCTTAGGAATGAAGGCTGGGGAAGGAATCCAGTTTTAATATTTGGTGCCTTTCTGTTGCTTTTAGCTACGCGTAGGCTTATCTGTCCTCATGGAGCATGGCTCATCCTTTCCCAGCCCTCTGCAGTTACCTTCTTTGCAGCCTGGGGAAGGGGGCCTGGCAGGTGGTGGAGAGTGTGGGCTCGGAGAGGCCTGCCTGCCAGACGAGATGGTACAAGTAAAAGGCTCCCGTACCGCGTAAGCCTTCGGTAAACGTGGAGCAGTATCGCAGCAAGAATCGGTCTGTGGCTTAGTCTTGTCACCAGTGGGAAAACACGCAAAACCACATGAAAACTCAAAAGAATGGCCTTTTGTTTTCTTATACTCGGGGAACTTTTAGCTGTCCTTGCTTCTTGCTGGGGTAAGTAAGGGTGGGGTTCGGTTATTTCCTTCGGATTCAGTGTTCACCAGAGTTTGATACTCAGTCACTGGTGTTATGGAAAGTAACTTTAGGTGATACGTGGACTAGCCTATTCTTACTTAATTGGTATATATTTACTTTTTATGTAGATTAGAAAAACTATAGCCAGCACACAAACCTGTGACTTCACAGATATCATTGCTTAGGGTAAGGCTGGAGTAAGAACTTAATTTTAGTAGCCAGAGCTTAAAGAGGAGCATAAAGCATGGCATTAAAACACTAAGGCAGCATGGCAGTCGCAGCAGCTGAGGGGGTGTGGCTGCAGCTGGGGGGGCGTGGCTCTGCCTCCCCTGCGTCCTGGTGTCACACGTGGCCCCGGAGGACGTTTACTGAAGCCCATGTCAGAGGCGATTGCTAGGCATCCAGAGCTTTCTCCTCCCCCAATTTTCTCTTTTTTTGTAAAAGGTAATTATTGTTGTATGTTCTTTGTCTTTGATTTATATTTTACACTTGTTTAATGATTTCCAGCCCAAGGGTGGTGGTGAATTTCAGAAAGTTGGAATTGGGAATGAGCTTTTGGGAATCATCGAGGGTAGGAATGGAATGTGGAGCCACGACAGAGTTCACTAAATCTGTGGAATTCTGTAGAAAATTTGTTGAGCGTCCGTGTGCAAGGCCTTACCGTGGCTGGGTGCCTGTGTCTGCACCTTTTTGTCCCGGAGGGCTGCTTGTATTCTGGTTTGGGAGGAAATACGCCCAGGCGGTAGACTGAATTTAGCTCTAGTTTTTGACCTAGCTTCTTGCAGTTCTGACAGCCGCGGCACTGTGTTGAATCCTGTCTTCTAGTTACCATTGCCACGTTTACCCCTACCCGAATACTGCCGAGGAGCGGAGAGAGATTCAGGAGGGCCTGAACACCCGGATTCAAGATCTGTATACTGTGAGTAAACCAGAAACTTGCCTCCTTATCCAAGGGTTTGTAAAACATTTACAAATCCATTTACTTTCTTTTTTAATGTGGAAAATTTTGGTTGTGGACAAATCAAGGTGTTTTAGGGAGTTTGGAATGGCACCTCCCTCCTCTTCGTGGGATTTTTATTTTAGCAGGCTGTTAGAAACCGAGATGGTTTCTAAATGATGGGGCTTTAAAGAATAGTCTGGTCATCTTTGATCTGTCAGAGTGTAATTCTTTTTTTTTTTTTTTTTTTTTTTTTTTTTGCGGTACGCGGGCCTCTCACTGTTGTGGCCTCTCCCGTTGCGGAGCACAGGCTCCGGACGCGCAAGCTCAGCGGCCATGGCTCACGGGCCCAGCCGCTCCACGGCATGTGGGATCTTCCCGGACCGGGGCATGAACCCGTGTCCCCTGCATCGGCAGGCGGACTCTGAACCACTGCGCCACCAGGGAAGCCCCGGAGTGTAATTCTTGATCAGAGAGGACAAGCGAGCCCCATTTACAGTGCTGGCTGTAATTTTACCTGCACTATTTCAATTCCCATTTCTCCTTAGGTCAGCGAGGGCTCTTGGTAACAAAAAGCGGACTCTGACCCACTTGAGTGAAAGGGGATTTCTTGGCAGGATGGGATGGGATGGGAGTTGGTGGCTCACGGGTTTTGACAGGGAGCTGGGCCGAGGCTGGGAGTGGGTAAGACCTAGGCCCCCAGCTCTCTGGACCCAGCCAGGCCATCATGCCGCCACAGGGACCACGACTTCTAACCATTTCCTGTGCCCTGGGGTCCTTTCTGGAAAGGCAGCTCCAGGGCCTGGAGGAGAAGGACGGAACTTCCTTAACTGTCCCCAGAGAGGCAGGTGCCTGGAATTCACCCCCCCCACCCATCACTGAGGAGAAAGTCCCTCAGAGGAGGTCAGGTGCCCAGTGGACACTCTGCTGAAAGTCCATGTTTGTCCTCACCCAGGTGCTTCACAAAACCGAGGATTACTTAAGGCAAGTGCTCTGTAAAGCCGCCGAGTCAGTCTACAGCCGTGTCATCCAGGTGAAGAAGATGAAAGCCATTTACCATATGCTGAACATGTGCAGCTTCGACGTGACCAACAAGTGCCTCATCGCCGAGGTCTGGTGTCCCGAGGCCGATCTGCATGAGCTGCGCCTTGCTCTGGAGGAGGGCTCGGTGAGGCGGCCCTCCCCTCTCTGCCAGCCCTTCCCCGCAGGAAGTAAGATAGAGGAGGAGAGGACACCGCGTTGACTCTTTTGAACTGAAATTATGGAGAGTTGGTCCCTCGAGGCTCTGTGTGCACATGCATTTTTTTTAAATTGATGTATGGTTGATTTACAATGTTTCAGGTGTGCAGCAAAGTGATTTGCACAGGCATTTTTAATTTGCTCTTTAGAGTAAGGAATTCAGTCTCATGGTTTAAAAGTCAAAAAAAAAAAAAATTAAAAAATATAAAAGACCTAGTGAAGTGTCTTCCTCCTATCCAGAGCCTCATATGTCCAGTTCCTCTGCTCAAAGACAACCCTTGTTTTACTTCTCTTACGTTTTTGAGTTTCTTAATCATAGATAAGCAGATAGGAATATATAAAGGGAGAGAATTCCCTTCCTTCACAAAAGATTGTGTGCTATTCATACTGTTCTTTTCTCATAAGAAAACTTCCCTGTTTTTTAATAGCTATTTAATATCCTGCTGAATGGATGTACCATGGCTTATTGAACCAGTTCCCTGGTCATTTAGGTGGTTTCTACCTTTATGAATACCAGTGCAGTGACTAGCACTTGACCTTTGATGGTTCAGACATGCACAAACCTATCTCCGGGTAAATGCCCAGCATGGAATTGCTGGATCAGTTTTGGCAAATATTGCCAGTTGTTGCATTTCTCTTATTTTGAGTGAGGTTGAATATCTTTTTGTGCGTTTAAGAAGAGCCTTTGAACTTTCACTTTTTTGGTGAATGCTGTGTTCATATGCTTTGCCCATTTTCTACTGGGTTGTTGGTCTTTTTCTTATTAATTCCCTTGGCTCGTTGTCTGTGATACGAGAACAGATATTCTCCCCAATTTGTCCCTTGTCTTTTGGTGTTTCTTTCTGTTTGTTTGCTTTGGTCGTGCAGAAGTTTTTTGTTAAATATAGTTGAACCCATCCACCTCTGCTCTTACAGCCTCTGAACTTTGAATAATAGCTTCTTTCCACTCCTGGGCTATGGGGTCAGTCTCCCACGTTCCTGTGAGGGTTTTCTCTGTATCAAAACTTAGTTCTTGGAGAGATAAATTAGGAGGTTGGGACTGACATATACACACTACTATATATAAAATAGACAACCAACAAGGACCTACTGTATAGCACAGGGAACTCTACTTAATACTATGTAATAACCTATATGGGAAAAGAATCTGAAAAAAAGTAGATGTATGTGTATAACTGAATCACTTTGCTGTACACCTGGAACTAACACAACATTGTAAATCAACTTTACTCCAATATAAGATAAAAAAACAAAAAAAAAATCTTAGTTCTTTACTGGAAATAGCAGGTTTACAAACTTCAAGTGGCAGTTAAGGAAACAAGTTTTCATAGGAGATTTTGGTTAACCACCTTGTCTCATTACATAATTCTGTTACGGCACAAACGTAAAACACGCAGTGCTGAGAAAGAAGGAAATACATAAATTAGTTATTTTGGAGTATGGGACATCTATTTTATTTATATATTTTAAAGCTCTAGATGATTCTTATTTATTGAGGTAACATCGGTTTTGAGGGACATGGCTAATACTCTTGTTGTGTGTGTGAGTATATATAAGTAGTCCCAGGATCACCAACATACAACTGGAACTTAGTGGTTTAGCTCTTAAAAATGTTCAAGAGGAATTTAGAGACAGCTACAGTATTACCTCATAAAACTGAAAAATAGGCAAGAATAAACCAAAATGTCAGTACGGCAAAATTTTGTTTTTTTCTTGGCATACCTGTCCCTGCCTGCTTCCCACCACTCAGCCTTGCTAGGTTCTTCCTTCTCCAAGGCCACGTCCCCCAGGAGCCTTCCTCAGTTCCTCCTGTCACTTCTGCTGTACTTGAACCTCCAGCGGGGTGGTCAGTACTTCCCCACGTGCTCAGGGCCTTTCCATGGCAGCCAACGAAGATTTGTTGAAAGAGCTCTTGGGTGGTAATTTTTTCTTTCTCTGTCTCTTTTCATGTGAAAGAGAGAGAGCGGTGCTTCGATCCCCTCATTCATGAACACAATCCCAACAAAAGAAACACCCCCGACTCTCATCCGTACCAACAAATTCACCGAGGGGTTTCAGAACATCGTGGATGCCTACGGGGTTGGGAGCTACCGAGAAGTGAACCCAGGTTGGAAGCCTGAATTTGCCAGTCTTTGTGTCTTATACATTTTATACATCACTGCTGCTTTTTTTCCCTATAAGAATATAATAGATATTTGGAAAAACAGGCCCACTATTACTGTTTTGTTATCTTATTTAGTATAAAGTGTTAATTTTAACCTGTCAGTTCTCTCCTGAGAATTTGGGAGAAAGTCAAGATCATTATACAGTATGTGGTCATGTTTGAATTAACTAGAATTTTCTGCCTTTGCTGCGAATCAGAAATCGCTTGCTTTTCCCGCAGCTCTCTTTACCATCGTCACTTTCCCCTTTTTATTTGCCGTGATGTTTGGAGACCTTGGACATGGCTTTGTGATGTTCTTATTTGCCCTCCTGTTGGTGTTAAATGAAGATCATCCCAGACTAAGTCAGTCACAAGAGGTAAAAACATAAACACTCGGGCTCATTGTATCTGTTTGGGCAGTATTAGTAGTGATTCTCTTCTGTTTAACTAGAAAAAGAGACATTTAAAGATGTTCAGGGGCTTCCCTGGTGGCGTAGTGGTTGGGGGTCCGCCTGCCGATGCAGGGGACGCGGGTTCGTGCCCTGGTCCGGGAAGATCCCACATGCCGCGGAGCGGCTGGGCCCGTGAGCCATGTCCGCTGAGTCTGCGCGTCCGGAGCCTGTGCTCCGCAACGGGAGAGGCCACGGCAGTGAGAGGCCCGCGTACCGCAAAAGAAAACTGTTCAGTTTTGGGCGATAACCGTAACCTACCTGAGACATGGTTGCGGGGGCGGGTGGGCCTTCACCCCTGTGTGATGGGGGCGTCTGTGCCGTGAGCTTGCTTTTGAGCAGCCCTGAGAGGAGCGGTTAAGAAAGTGCCCAAACCCAGTCGGTCACGCTGGCTCGTTCTCCCGGGGGCCCCACTTCGCTCCCCACAGATCGTGCGCATGTTTTTCAACGGCCGCTACATCCTCCTGCTGATGGGGCTGTTCTCAGTGTACACGGGCCTCATCTACAACGACTGCTTCTCCAAGTCGGTCAACCTCTTCGGCTCCGGGTGGAACGTGTCTGCCATGTACAGCTCCGGTCACAGCGCAGCGGAGCAGAGGAAGGGCATGCTCTGGAAGTGAGTGTCCTGCTGCCAGACAGTGTCTTAGGTGGAGGGAGTTTCTCCGAGTCTCCTTCCCCCTCTGCAGGAGGCCCTCACCCTGCTTTTTGTTACAGTGACAGCGTCGTCAGGCACAACAGGGTTTTGCAGTTGGATCCCAGTGTTCCCGGAGTGTTCCGAGGCCCTTATCCTCTTGGCATCGATCCCGTGAGTGTCCCCCCCTCCCCATTATCTCGGGTTCCTCGGTGCTGCCACCTAATTTTTTAATTAAAATTTAAAAAAATTTTTGGCCATGCCGCGCGGCTTGTGGGATCTTAGTTCCCTGACCAGGGATCGAACCTGCACCCTCAGCAGTGGAAGCGCGGAGTCCTCACCACTGGACCTCCAGGGAATTCCCAGTGCCACCTCGCTTTAACTGTCACAGAGGTTTCTCAGACTGCTCAGCACGGTTCAGGTGGTCGTACGCGAGGGGGTGGTACTCTGGGGGTTTCTGCCTGGACGCCAGAGGCTCACTGTGTGTTCTGAGTCAGGCTGCTGTACAGAAGAAGCTGACGGTCAGTGCCCAAATACAAGACCACAGGGAGCTGGGGCTACGGTCTGTCCTACTTCCTGACCTGTTTTACTCTAGTGAGAAGTGGCACTTCCGGAGCCATGTAACGTGCACTGTTTCTTCGATTTCTTCTTTGTACAGGCGAACTGTTTTTTTACCCTTTGATGTAGAAAGAAATAGTATGGAATTTTAGAGTAGAAAGGGAACTTAGGCTTATCATGGTGCTTATTGAGGTGGTTGTTTGAAAGGGAAAAAGTGTGGGGAGAAGGAAAGTGAAGCCAGGGCTCCAGGGCCGGGGTTGCCCCTGTCCTGCCCCCAACATGGCTCACCAGGCTGCTGCTTATGAGGCCCAGGTAGCATTTCCCTAGACCCAGGGGCCTTCACGAGGAATCTCAGCCTTAAAAGAAAAGCTTAGAAACTACCTCGAAATTTGTTTGGAGTGATGCGATACAGTAGTGGAAAAAACTCAGTGACAAAAGTCTAGCATTCCCTAATCTGAGCTCTCCAAGGTAGCTCTCTCCTAAATGTACATTCTCATCTCTAAACATAATTGGTATAATTTAATGTTGTGAATATAATTGGAAACTTGAAAAAACCTGACAACAGTCTCCTTAAGGAACAGCACTTTTCTCCTAAGGCAGTTGAAGGAAGTTAAAGTTTTCTTTTTGTTTTGTCTTTAGATTTGGAACTTGGCCACAAATCGTCTCACTTTTCTGAACTCTTTCAAAATGAAAATGTCTGTGATTTTAGGAATTATTCACATGACTTTTGGAGTCATTCTGGGAATATTTAACCACTTGTAAGTACAGATTATTTTTAAACCAGTATTTATAAGCCAAGTATTTGTTATTTCTTAAACTTTGCTTCTTGATGGTAGACTACATGGATCTTAAAGGCAGCCAGCATAGTGGTTTGTTGTGTTAATATGATTCTGTTTTTTATTTATTTTTATTTTTAAGAATTTTTGGCTGCGTTGGGTCTTTGCTGCTGTACGCGGGCTCTCTCTAGTTGCGGCGAGCGGGGGCTACTCTTCGTTGCGGTGTGCTGGCTTCTCATTGTGGTGGCTTCTCTCGTTGCGCAGCGTGGGCTCTAGGCGATGCGAGCTTCAGTAGTTGCAGCACGCGGGCTTAGTGGTTGTGGCTTGTGGGCCCTAGAGCACGCAGGCTTCAGTAGTTGCGGCGCATGGGCTTAGTAGTTGTGACTTGGGCTCTAGAGCACAGGCTCAGTAGTTGTGGCGCACGGGTTTAGTTGCTCCGTGGCATGTGAGATCTTCCCGGACCAGGGCTTGAAGCCGTGTCCCCTGCATTGGGAGGCGGATTCTTAACCACTGAGCCACCAGAGAAGTTCTATGATTCTGTTTTTTTTTTTTAAATTAATTTATTTATTATTTTTGACTGCATTGGGTCTTCGTTGCTGCACACGGGCTTTCTCTAGTTGTGGCGAGTGGGGGCTACTCTTCGTTGTGGTGCGCGGGCTTCTCATTGTGGTGGCTTCTCTTGTTGCGGAGCACGGGCTCTAGGCACGTGGGCTTCAGTAGTTGTGATATGTAGGCTCAGTAGTTGTGGTGCACGGGCTTAGCTGCTCCGTGGCCTGTGGGATCCTCCCAGACAAGGGTTTGAACCCGTGTCCCCTGAATTGGCAGGCAGATTCTTAACCACTGCGCCACCAGGGGGCCCCAATTCTGTTTTGATGATAAGGTTTTTGTCAGCTTCATTGATTCAGCAAATATTTGTTGAGCACATAGAAGGTGCCTGGCACTATTCTGGGCACCAGGGATTGAACAGTGAGGAGGACAGAAAAAAGTTTTCGCCCGCATGGAGTTTACTTTCAAGTGAGGGAGACATGCAACATGTACATTCATATTTATTTCCAGAGGTGATTTTTGTCATATCGTTTTTTCATTTTCTAAATCAGAAAACTTTTGTTTGTTTCTTAGAGCTGGTATATTAGGGGAAAGAAATTATGTCTTTTTTTCTCTAGCCGGATCTGACAGTGAAACACTAGTCATCTCTACTGTCCTCACATCTCTTTTCTTCGTGGTTACATCTGAATCGTAAGACAGATGACGTTATGCTGAGATAGACTTTGTCACAGAGAATTTAAGATTAATTTACTCTTTCCTTTTTCTCTTAGTCCAATGTTGTTCATGGGTTGATCGATTCCTTTGTTTTTTTTTCCCTAGACATTTCAGGAAGAAGTTCAACATTTACCTGGTCTCCATCCCGGAACTTCTCTTCATGCTCTGCATCTTTGGCTACCTTGTCTTTATGATCGTCTATAAGTGGCTGGTTTATTCAGCAGAAACCTCCAGAGGCGCTCCTAGCATTCTGATTGAATTTATTAATATGTTTTTATTCCCGGCTAGTGACACAGGTGGTCTTTACCCAGGGCAGGTAAGCAGTTGTGTCTTCCACTGTGAAGAACTCAAAGGAAGTCCTCCTGATGGCCTTTTTGTTTTCATCAGTAGAATGATTAAAGGTGCTTTCCACAGGCCTCCCAGGCACAGAGGGGCTTTCTACTCCTCTGTGTGTTATCACAAGAGGGTGCCATCCTGCTCTGAGAGCTGTCTCGGGGGCCCTGGTCAGACTGTATATTCCAAACTCGCTGCCCCTCAGTAGCTGTGAAAACTGGTGGGAAGAGAATGTATTACTGGAGGGTTCCTGAGGGCTGTCCATCCATCCATTTTTCCAGTTTCTTTAAAATCAACCCCTGACTAAGCCAGGTCCTCAGAGAACTGGCACTTGGACCACAGCACGCTGGCCCTCTCCAAAAATGGCTTTTCTATAACTGTGCATTTGTGTGATGCCATGCACGTCAGCTGTGAGTTTAGGAAACGAAAGGAAAAGACACCCTGGCAAATGTAATTTAGCTTGCGTTTACTTTATGTTCCTTGTTAATCAATAAAGAGACATTTTACTTGGTTTCCACTAGTTTAAGTACACCAATGACATTGTTAGCACATCTTCACGTTTTAACTGGCTTCCTCCCCTTTTGCACCGACAGGAGCACGTCCAAAGGCTGCTTCTGGTCATCACAGCGTTGTCTGTCCCTGTGCTCTTCTTGGGAAAGCCACTCTTCTTGTTGTGGCTTCACCGTGGGCGCAGTTGCTTTGGGGTCAGCAGGGTAAGTGTGGGTTTGGCTGCATGTTTGTAAATGGTGAGCAAAGTCTGTTTTTAGTTGTGAAAGGTTTTGTAAAGAAAACTCCTTCCAAGGGGTCCCAGACTCTGATTTAAAAGCCAAAGCTTCCTTTATTGAGAACTTTTGCGTTGCCTGTTCTGCAGAAGCGTGGTGCAAAGAGCCTGCCGTGTCTGGGCACGGGAGACAGGTCCTCTGGTAATGAACCACAAACCTATCAGTAGATGGAACTGAATCCCTCAGTACTGCTTGTCATAAAGCATTTTTGTTCCTTATTCTTGCCTCTTGATTTTTCAAGGTTTTTTTGTTTAATTTAAATAACATAACTAAAGGAAATGTGGAAAATATAGAAAATAATGCCTACTATTTCTCCTACTGAGTTATAACCAGTGTTAACCATTTGTTGAGTTTCTTTCCAGACTGTTTTCTTGTGTGTCTAGTTTCTCATTTTATTTTATTTTTTATAAATTGTGGTAAAATATACATGACATAAATTTTGCATCTTAGCCGTTTTCAGGTGCGCATTCAGTGGCATCACGTGCACTCACATTGCACAGCCATCCCCACCATCCGCCCCCAGAACCTTTCCGTCTTCCCGAGCTGAGACTCTTTACTCATTAATATTAACTCCCCATTTCCCCTCGACCCAGCCCCTGGCACCCACCCTTCTACTTTCTGTCTCTATGAAGCTGACTGCTTTAGGTACCTTATATAAGTGGAATCATATAATGTTTCTGCTTTTATGACTGGCTGATTTCACTTAGCCTAATGTCCTCAAGATTCCTCCATGTTGTAGCTTGTGTCAGAATTTCCTTCCTTTTTAAGGCTGAGTAATATTCCATTATATGGATAGACCACATTTTGCTTATCAGTTCATCCATGAATGGGCACTTGGGTTGTTTTCACCTTTCAGCTACTGTGAATAATGCTCCTAAGAACATGGGTGTATAAATACCTGTTGGAGTCCTTGCCTTCAGTTCTTTTGGGTATATACCTAGAAATGGTAATTCTTTGTTTAATTTTTTGGGAACCACCAAACATTCCACAGTGGCTGTGCCATTTTATGTTCCCACCAGCAATGCACAAGAGTTCCAGTTCCTCCGTACCCTAATCAACACTTATTTATTTTCTTTTTTGTTTGTTTGTTTACAATAGCCATCCTAGTGGGTATGATATGCTTATTTTCTTTCAAAGGACTTTTTTCTTTATTCCTAAAGAGCTGACATTTTAAAAGAATCGAAGGGGTGCTAACTTTGATTTTGTCACAACCTTGTGATTTTTTTTTTTTTTTGCGGTACACAGGCCTCTCACTGTTGTGGCCTCTCCTGTTGCGGAGCACAGGCTCCGGACGCACAGGCTCAGCGGCCATGGCTCACGGGCCCAGCTGCTCCATGCCATGTGGGATCTTCCCGGGCCGGGGCACGAACCCGCGTCCCCTGCATCGGCAGGCGGACTCTCAACCACTGCGCCACCAGGGAAGCCCCACAACTTTGTGATTTTAAAGGCACTGACTCTGTATTCTTTGGGTTGTCTTTTTAGAGTGGTTACACACTTGTAAGGAAAGATAGCGAGGAAGAAGTTTCTTTGCTGGGAAGCCAAGACATAGAAGAGGGAAACAACCAAATGGAAGATGGTTGTAGAGAAGTGACGTGTGAAGAGGTAACCTTTTCAGTTACTGTTGGTGATGTTAGGTAAGGAGCCAGGCTCGCACAGAGATGATCGTCATTACGAGAGTGATAAGAATCATCTTAGAAAACAAAATTCAAACAAAACAACCGTTACTCCAGGCTTTCCACATGCTGTTCTGGTCATACAATTGTCATCATAATATAATGATTCTGGGTTAACATTTTGTGAGTTTCAGTCTTACAGTGGGATTTATAGTGTTAACATTACAAGTTGCGATGCTGAGTGACTTCAGGTGCCATGAACATTGCTTTGAGAAGACTCTCGTCTTCATTAGAACTTGCCCATAGTTGTAAGAAAGAGACCCAGTTCACACTGGCTTCAAGGGGAATCTGCTGGCCCACATCAGGATGGGGCAGAGTGGGCCTCAGGAGGGTGGGGCTTTGGATCTCCAATCCCAGCAAGTCTGAGTTAGTTTTTCTTTGCAAGTTTGCTTCATATTCTGAAGCCAGTTGGCCCCTTGGTGTTGGAACTGTGGCCACAGTGAGCACTGGGCTTATTTTCTTCAATCAGAGAAAAGTGCACTTCCCTGCTTGTTACCATGAGGAAAAATCCCAGGGAAGTGCTTTGATTGGCCTGGCTGGGGTCACTTGCCATCCCTAGACCAGTGACTGCAGTAGTCTGCATGGGCTGCCACGACCACAGACTCGGGGGCTTCGGCTACAGAAATGTATTTCCCACGGTTCTGGAGGCTGGAAGTCCAAGGTCAAGGTGTTGGCCAGGTTGGTTTCTCCTGGGGCCTCTCTCCCAAGCTTGTGGACAGCCACTTTATCGCTGTGTCCCCACATGGCCTTTTCACTGTGCGTGCCTCTTTGGTGTCTCTTCCTCTTCTTATAAGGACACCAGTCCTATTGGGACATAAGCCCCACCCTTATGACTTCATTTAACCTTACTTACCTCCTTAAAGGCCCCATATCCAAACACAGTCACATTGGGGATTAGGGCTTCAACAGACAAATCTTGGGGGGAACACAATTCAGCCCATAACAACTGTGCGATACAGGGTTAGATGGCAGAAGAAGCAGTTCCTACCAAAGAAGGGAAGCACAGTCCTGGCAGACAGAACAGAGCACGTCTGTTACTGTGGTCTGCTTTATTTTCTTGGAAACTTTTTTGGCTGTCCGATGAGGACGAGACAGAATTTCTTAGTCAACCTTTTGTAATTATTATGTAATTTAGTGTTTTAATTTGGGACAATTAATAATTAAGTTCTTAAGATCATTAAGAAATAGAAAGCGGAGCTGGAAAGAATGTGGGAGCCATCTTGCCCAGTGTTCTGCAGCCTTTTCACTATCAGGGACTCTTTTATAATTTCCCCTTGTCAGACTTGTATTAAGATGCTCTTATCTATTAAACACACACACGCGTTCACAGTCTCCTAATCTTGTGGTTGGTAGATGTCTGTTTCTCATTACACGTTTTGTAATTACTAAGAGTACCTCAAGAACCTCGTTGGGCTGCCTGAGGGCCGTGGGCATTGTGCCATCACAGTTCTGGTCCAGCCACACTCGCCTTACGTGCAGGACCGCGGCCTGGGGACAAGGGGGCGGGAGCTCTGTGGGTCGGGGAGCTGGTTAGTGGCGGAGTTGTGAGCAGAGCTCTGTTCCTCACACGCCAGCACATCCTCACCAGTATTCCAGAAGCCAGTCCTTTCACTGTAATCCTGAAAGTGGAGCAGACTTGTAGCTTGTGGAAGTAAGCATGTCACGGGTGGAGTCGCTAACACGTGTTGTGTCATCTCTCTCAGTTTAATTTTGGAGAAATATTAATGACCCAAGTAATTCATTCCATCGAGTACTGTCTGGGATGCATCTCCAACACCGCTTCGTACCTGAGGCTCTGGGCACTCAGTTTGGCTCACGCACGTAAGTTTTGCTTAGACCTGTAGCTCCCAAACTCTGTGTCGAGACACCCCGCAGCGCCTCGGTTAACTCATGGGGGCACTATGGGACATTGAAAAATTTTGATGGAAAGGGCACTATTTTTCAGATACTGTGTGAACAGGGACTGTTAAGTTGTTTGGACTTGACTGCTTACTGCACTGGTCTCCTGGGTATTTCTTTTGGCCTCAGGGTGCTGTGAAAAAAATCACTGGGACACACGAGGGGCTTCAAGGACCGAGAAGGCTTGGGAACGTCTGGCGTAGGCATTTCGCTCCCTCTGCTCTGACCATTATTGTTTTGGTTATTACTATTATTGTATTCAGTGCTGCCTTACCAAGTGTGAATGTCTAGTTACGTCAAGCAAGCTCTAGAACAATGCTGAGTAATAGTTTAGATGCGTGGATTTGTTACCTGCGTTTAGTTAAGTCTCGGCAGTCCCCCAAGAACATGGTTGAAATTTCAGTTACTACAGTAAAAATTGTGTGTATGGGTGCAACGTGCAGGCTTCACTGCTGGCCCTTCAGCCCGCAAGCCGCTATGTAAATAGCACAGACGCACATCACGATCAGAGACCAGCCGCATCACTTCTCTCGGAGTCTGTTGCGATTGGACCCTGTGCACCTGCTGCTCAGTTCATGCGCAGACAGCAAGGCGCATGGTGGTGCTGGCTCCTTGTGGGCCGGTGGTAAACCCACATGGCATTTAAAAGCGGATTGCTGAACCGAGGGAATTGGCCAACAGAGATGAAAAAGTGCAGCAGAGGAACAGACAGTGATATGCTGGAAGTGAAATGCAGATGGAATGTAACTGGAAGTTTAGGAGAAAGAGCTGACACGGGAGTGGTGACACTGGTGCCGTTCGAGAGGCGAAATCTGCAGCCAGAGGAACTTGGTGATGTACAGAAAGAAGATGCAGGTGTCCCAGAAGTGGTGCCACAGGAACTCTAGGAGGTATTTCAGGACATTGAAGGTGCAAAGCATACTGTGTTAGAAGCTGATCCAAACTCAGAAAAGAGTCGGACAGCCAAGTAGGATGCCAGGCATTAGAGAAGATGCTCACTCCGTGTCAAGGTGCCCAGCAAGCCCAAGTCACATGAGAAGAAGGCTGTTCAAACCACCCTTCATAAGTTCTTACCAAAACCCCCAGCAATTGAATGCTCAATGTTTCTAATGTTTTAAGAACAGATTTACTCTTTTTTTTTCATTTCTCTGTGCATTTATAACCAACAGTAAGAGAGTTTTTAATGTTCTGACAAAAATTTTGAAAGGTCCCAGAACAATTGTAATTTTTCCCGTTGACCATTAAGGATGCTTTGGACGGTCATTGCTCTGCTCCTGCATTACTGTGCAAAGACTGTACTTGGGAAAACTACCAGATGATAGAGGGTTTTTTTGTTGTTGTTACATTGATATTTTTGTAAGCATAGCTGCAAGTCTAGAACTTGCTGGCGGGAGGGGGTCCATCATCTTCATATTACAGAGGAGGAGACTGAAGCCCAGTGAGGGTTGGTGCTGGCGCAGGGTCACGCACCTGGTCAGTCAGTAGCCGAGTCAGGACTGACGCCCAGCTTCCCGCTGCCTGGCCCAGTGCCGCATTGGGACAGAGCCAGCCGGACCCCTATTTGGGTCAGGATCTCTCACTGGCAGGCAGGCAGGGCTCTGATTTCTCTGGAATGTCAAGTCTTCCTCCGTGTTTGAGATGATCAAGTTGCTGGTTAACTTTAACGTGGGAAGCCGATTACGTCTGTCTTATATGGGTGTGTATTTATTTTAGGGATAACAATTCAAAATTGTTTCAGAAGGAAACCCAGTCTAGCTAGCTAATTGAAGTGACTCACTGAAGGTGAACAGAAGTTAACTTTGCAAAATGCTTGCCTTGCAGAGCTATCTGACGTGCTGTGGGCCATGCTGATGCGGGTCGGCCTCCGCGTAGACACGACCTACGGGGTCTTGCTTCTTCTCCCGGTCATCGCTCTCTTTGCGGTTTTGACCATTTTCATCCTTTTGATCATGGAAGGGCTTTCTGCATTTCTTCACGCCATCCGCCTCCACTGGTGAGTTTGGAATTTAGCTTTGGAACTGTTACTTAACAAAAATCTAACACCCTACTCCCCCAGTACGTACATATATGTGTAACAGTTCCAGTGATATGTATACTTATACATATATTATTTAGGCTACTTCTCCCCTTCCCGGGATTGGGATCTGTATTCCGGTCCCCTGAGTTAAAATTGTATTTTGTTTCTGAGCTTTTGTCGCCGACACATAAAAGTAAGTTTACGCTTGCTGAATAATTTTGTGTATTTCACACTTTCGATTCACTTTGGGTCTGACAGGTTGCTTTATCTTATTGTAAACCATATTTCTTAATGTTTTACAGTGTATATCAGATTACTTGTCTGTGTATCCAGTTACTGGGGTGAGAGAGGTTCCTAATGCTCATGTGTATGTCCATAGGGTGGGAGGTGACGTGAGGTGTCAGCATTTTCTTCATGAGAAACCCAGCAAAGGGCTGGCGTGTGTGTGTATTTTATCTAAGCAAAAGTATTTGTGCCAAGAGCATGTATGCGATGAAGCAACTTCAGAAGCACAGGAACTTTTTTCTTTTTTAACTTATAAATGTTGTTTTAAGGAATGTAGCAAGTGTTATTCAGAATCTTTCATTAATACATGGTTTTGTTTTGTTTTGTTTTGTTTTTTTAGGGTAGAATTTCAGAACAAATTCTACGTTGGTGCAGGCACCAAATTTGTTCCTTTCTCACTCAGATTACTTTCTTCGAAGTTTAGTGACGACATGGCATGATCATATTGCCGTATCCAACAAGCTTTCAGATTTAAGGAGAATTATCATGTTGTAGAATTTCCTTATGTTAAATTGATGATAGGAAAAATTCCATCTTCATTAACTGCCTTATGAGACAGCCAAATGATTCTGTAAGATATACCTCTTCCTCATATGTTAAATAATTTTGTAAAGTTTCTCAATTTCAGATATATAAATTTCTTTCAGTTTTTATGATGAGCAAATATAAGTTAATGCCAAAAGTTATGTTAAAGTTATTTTTAAAAATATAGCCTTGGGGGAGAGAAGCCAATTTTGAATGGCTAATTGAAAATGGTCTTAAATACTTGATTCCTTTTCAACTTATTTAAAAAAAAACTAGAGTTATTCTGTCACCTGAAGTTGTCAGATAATATTTTCCAACAGCTGAAGTTAAGTAGTTTTTAAAAAAATTTAATGATGGCTAATCAAAAGATTCACATTTATTTTGCTTGGTTAAAAGTATGCAAACTTTTTTTATCGTATGCTATCTAGAATTACAAGTAGAATTGTTTCTACGATTTTGTCTTGTTTTAATAATTGGAGAAAATGGGATAAAATAACATACAACAAATGGTTATCCCACTTGTATATTTTTTTAAAGACTCTTATCTTGTTATCCTTACATAAAACCAATTATGATAATTGTATGTTTGGGAAGATAAACTGTGTACTGAGCCTTAAAATCCAGTGTGACTGTAGACGATGTAATATGGATATGATTCGAACTTATTGACCAGCTTGGCTGATGTCCCTGAACCAAAAGGGGTTTATACTGAGTGAAGGAAAGGTAAAAAGTAGAATTTTGTATATTTTTATAATAAAATATAAATTAAGGTATTTTACCATGGAGAGGTTGCACCTATCTTTGAGAACAGTATAATTATAATGATTCAGTTTCAGACTAATTCGAAATAAATGTCTAATAAAGGCATTTAGAGTTAAACTTTTAAAAACTATTTAGATCAGTTGAAAACCAATTCTTACTAAGCCATTAATGTATATAATCTTCAGATTAAATTCATCTTTTCACTTGACATTTGAGTCAGTCCTGTTGAACATTTTGATCTGTCCTGTATTCTTGTAAATTATGTTCGTTTTTCATACTTTACTGTAACTGATTTTAGATAATTATTTTCAGAAAGAAACCTGCAGTATTTTCGCTTCCTTAACATTTTGAGTAACTCACGTGAAGAGGCCTGCTTGTCTCCTTCACCTTGGCTGGTGGTAGAGAGTTTGGTGTTTTCATTACAAGTTAAGATCATGGTAGCCCTGAATTTAAGCGTATCTTTTCAGGTAATTTCAAGGCCTATTTGCTGAGAGGCATGAATTGAACATCATGACATAACTGTGACTCTGACATTAGACCTTTTTCTTTCTTTTTTTTTTTGCAGTACGCAGACTGCAACCACTGCAGTCTCTCAACCACTGCGCCTGACCAGGGAAGCCCTGAACCTTTTAAATTGTAGTAAAGATTCCATGTTACTCCTCTCATATGAGACGCTGTCCCTCATAATATCAAACATAAAATGATGCTGATGAAACTCTTAAAAATGATACTGCTGGGCTTCCCTGGTGGCGCAGTGGTTGAGAGTCCGCCTGCCGATGCAGGGGACGCGGGTTCGTGTCCCGGTCCGGGAGGATCCCACATGCTGCAGAGCGGCTGGGCCCGTGAGTCATGGCCGCTGAGCCTGCGCATCCGGAGCCTGTGCCCCGCAACGGGAGAGGCCACAACAGTGAGAGGCCCGTGTACCGCAAAAAAAAAAAAAATGATACTGCTGTCCACGTTAAGTCTCTTCAGAAAGGCACTTGGACACTTCTTTTGGGTGAATATGAAATCTGAATAATGCCTTCCAGGTTTCAAATGTGTCCCTCACAAGTTCTTATTTTTATTATTTTACTCCAAGATGGTAACTAATTCATTCTTAGGAAACCCACCATTTTAACTGACTAGTAAGTTGACTAGTTAACTGACTAGTAAACAAGAGACGTACAGGATCTGCTAGAATTCTTTTCTGTCCCCATTGGCAGTTGTCACGGGGGCCACTTTTTAATTCCAGTGAACGCCTCTCTCAGGGCATAGAACAGAGGGTGAAGAGTCACTTTTCAGCTGAAACCTATGTAGTACTGTAGAACATAATGGTATAAAAGACGGACTGTCAGTCCTAATTTTTGTGAAAGAACTCTCTAGAATTACAGCTTGATGGTGTCTTTTAGGCACCAAGGTAAATTTTCTTTGTTAGTATAAAGCTGCTGGTTCCAGTGTCGTGTTACCAGAGCAGTTGCTCTGTTTTGTTTGTTAAGCTGTTTGGTAGAACTATTATGTGTACAGTTTTTAAGACATAACTTCATGCCCTTGATAGCAAGCCTCCAGAGGAAGAATGCTCAGTTGTCTGGATGATGCTAAGTTGACCTGTTTATTTTCCTAACGCGAAAAGTCACGACTGCCACGTCTTCCGGTTTTCATTCAGGTGTGCATCCTAAAATAGAAATCCAAAGGATTTCTTCAGAAAAATAGAGTTTGCTTTCGGCCTGCAAAGGTGAAGAAGGTCCTCGTGGTGATGTGATTGTGCTGAGTTAAGGAGTGCAAAGGGGGTTTGATGGGGGTTACGCTGAGCCCGTGGCCTGGCAGCTTATTGCGGCTAGGACTTTGAGGGGACTCACCTTTCACTGAGTGCCACTCTGTCCTCACTTCTGGAATGGGTATTTTATAACAACATTCTGATCTGAATTTTCATTCTGCAGCAGTTTAATAAGGCGTAGACTATAGGATAGGTAACTTATGTTTACAAATTAAAAATTCAGACACTTTAGGGCCTGATTCATTTTGGAAAACAGAAATAAAAATAACTTCAACTGTTCTGCAGTCTGCATTTAAAAACAACTTTATTAAAAATTTAAAGCCAGGTTTGCTTGCATGCCATCTGGTATATCTCCAGCAAGGTTATTAAGAAATCTTATTCAAGATGATGAAAATAAGACAGGTCGGAGTAGTAATTTTCCAACAGCCAGGCCAATGATGCTGAACTTTGGTTTAGAATTTTAAGAAATACTTAGAATATTCTACCTGTTCCTTGATGGGAAAATCCAATAAGAAGACTAGGTTCTTAGGGTCAGCCCAGTAATCTAGGGGCTCAGTGAGGGAAAACGACTGAACAAGTTAAAGAACCACAGATGTATGAAGGGACACATTTGCATCTTCCTATCAGTATTGAACTTCCCTTTATTAATGAAAAATAAATTTATCTATTTTTGAAACGTGGGTGTTTTGCTTTATTATGCTTTGGATTGGCTACAGAGCTGAAGAGCTCGGCTTCTCCTACTCTGTAGCCAGTGTCCCTTCTTGGGGCTCCCCCTTCCCTGATCCTGGTACACCGGAAGAAGCTTGCCCCTTCTTGGGAATCTTCGCTGTGTATTTGCTCTTCTGACGCCCTTTGATCCATAGCGACCCGAGGGCTCAGACTATAGTCCTTTTGCCTCGCGTCCAACTTTGCCTCTACCACCTCCGAGATACCGTGACCTTGTCTGTCACGTATCTTGCCACTGTTTCCTTATCGACAAAGCGGGCAGGACAGTCCCAGACGCCGTGGCGGTTAAGAATCACAGGAGGCCTTGCGCATGCAGCACTTATAAGGATCCTGGCGCACCTCCAGGTCTGCAGTCGGCTGCCTTCCTACACGTCTTTCCGTCCCCGGGGCTTGCGTGCGGCTGTCCAGCTCATCTCGGTCCTCCCAGGAGGAAGGGGGCGCCCAACCGGGGGAAGAGCCCCGACCCTCCTCCGCGCGCAGGCTGGGGCGCCGCGGCCCCTTCCCAGGGGCTCCGCGCCACCCTCCCGGGTCCCGCTTTGCGCCTCTGAGAGCGCGGGGCCCGGGTGCAGGGGCGCCCGGGGACCGTGGGGCCGCGTGCCCGCGGCGGCCGTTGCCGGGGCGCCTGTTGCTAGGGGCGCCGTTACCACAGACGCCTGCCCGGCGCTACACTCCCTGAGCCCGGTGCTGCCGGCTCTGCGGCGCCATGGACGACCTACGGGTGCTGTGGATGCGTGACCGAGTGTACACCGCCTTCGGCATCACAGACCCCCAGCTCTTCGAGGAGTTGCTGAACCGCAACGACGGCGAGGTCGAGGACCTCATCCTGTGCTTCCTCAACCAGACCAGCGACGAGGAGGGCGCCTCGACTCTCTTCTTCTACCGCAAGGTGGTGCCCGAGGAAGTGGAGGTGGAGATCGGTGAGCCCCGCGGCCGCCCTCCCGCCGCGCCCCCTCCTGCCCCGTTCCCCACCTCACCACCGCGGGGACTGCAGACCCGCGCCCACCCCGCACTTGGCCTCACGTGCAGTCCGCAAACGCTTATTGTCGCCCACCGTGTGCAGGCACAGTCCAGGCACTGGGTGAACTGGACAAGCCCACTTGGAAAGTCAGACCTTGAATGAATAATCACAACAAACCCTCATTTAGCGCTTACTCTGTGCCAGGTACAGTTCCAAACGCGTATATCAGCTATTAATCCCATGAAGTGGGTGTATTGTTATCCCATTTTACAGATGAGCAAGCTGTGGCACAGAGAGGGTTAACTAGCTCATCCACACAGGTCACATAGTAAAGACTCAGAAGAATATGTGTCGCTGTCCAATGACGTGTCATAGACGGATAGAGAAATGGCCCAGGGGCTGAGAGGGTCAGTTCATCCTCACTCAGATGGTGACAGGGTCTCCCAGAGGTGGAGAAGAGTGCCCCTTCCTATCTTCCCAGGCTCCCGACGTGCTATTGTAAAGTAACACCAAAACAATTTAAAAAGATTACAGTAGATTTAAACGTTTATGTTGAACAATTTAGCATTTTAAATAAAAATAATGACAGTGACTGATGCCCAGAACCTTCTGTGGAGGTGGCCGGTCCAGCCCACCGACACAGAGACGGCCTGGGGTGGGGGGGAGGGGGAGACAGGACAGAGAGCAGGGGACACTCAGAAAGGAGATTGAGAGACACACAAGTTCTCTCCCAGTAGGAACACCAGTGTCAGTGCAGCTGTCACGGACCGGGTTTGTGTGATGTGTCCCATCAATGTCAGTCTCCTGTGCTAGTATCACATCTTCACGAGGCTTCTGGATCCCCTACAGGACCTTTCACAGGGTGGGATGGCAGAGCCAGGCAGAAGTTGTTTTTTCTTAAAAGGCCGTTGGCACATTTATTTTAAA